ATTTCCCTTGCAAGATGATATTCAATTCAAAGCATTCAGAAATAATAGAGATAAACCTCCTATTCAGTTTCTTTGTGAAATAAGGTGATGATTTCACTATAATGTCTGAGTTATTGAATATGTGTAGCACTCACCAAAATTGTGTGGCTATATTGTCAAAGAAGCACACAATTACAATGTTGTATCATGCCTTTTGTTTTAATCATATGGATGACATATTTATGTATGGCATATTTTAGAATTAGAATGCAGTGACCTATAATGATGTGCATGTGGACATCACTCAGGAAGAATGGGCATTGATGGATCCTTCACAGAAGAATCTCTACAAAGATGTGATGGTGGAGACCTATATGAACCTCACAGATATAGGTAATAATATAAATTTTCCTTCACATTTTAAGTAAGGGGACAAAGTTTCTTGGTTATTGATGCTATCCTGCAATTCTGATTGAGAATGAGGAAGAATGAGGTGAATAAATCAGATTTGGTTCTAAGGATCACTACAGATAGTAATGGAAAATTTTCAGTTTCCTGTTATATTTCATATATTTTTGTCCTATATTTTAGGTTACAATTGGGATGATCTTGAAGTTGAAGAACATTGCCATAGTTCTCAAAAACATGGAATATAATTTTCATGTAAAAGCTGATAGAAATGGGCCCCTAGATATATATAATTTATCTGGAAGCTTTTGTCAAATGAAGCAGTGTAAATTATCACAGTTTGAAGTGCATTGATGATAATTAAATGCTCATAAACACATATACCTCAATGGTAGGTAAGTGAATTATGTTTGAAAGTCATTCTTTTAAGAAGAAAGAAAAAAATAATGCCATAAAAGAAATCAACATTTGAATAATAACTCCATCAAAGCTATTCTGTACAACTGACAATTCATTTAGTTTCATAGTATTCATATTACAAAAGATATACTCATTGAATATGTGATAAGAATATATACAAAGCCTTGCAATAAGCAAATAGTCCATAGAATATTTACTCATATAGGTGTTCTGTCTTTGCTAATTTTAGTTAGATCGGTAGTTAGAGCCAAGAGTTAAGGAGAGGGGGGAGTTGTTGTAGAGAAACATTATTCCCTATACCACATATTGATGAGGAACCGAAAGTTCAACTGTAAATGAAATGTGGAAATATTCTCGTTTTTTTTCTTTCTTTAATAGTTATATCATATGTCACTCTGGATACCAGTTCTATGAACATAAGGATATGGGAAGAAACAATGTCCATCTCTCAATTTCAGAACAATTAGAAGATATGTAGTAGTCCCATGTTGAGTAAACTTGTTGAATGTGATTCAAGTTTACAAACAATTGGTTTTCCAGCTTCATTCAGAATAGATCAACAAGCACAGCACAGAAAAGCCCTATGGGTATTAGGACTGTGTACATGCTTCTGTTTGTCCTGGTTAACTTAGAACATGCAGCATGACTCACAGTATAGGAAAATTTATCAATGGAATAAGTGGGGTAAATGTCCAAATTCTCCCAGTTATCTTCAAATATGTGAAAAACCTCAGAAAGAAATGATGTCATAAATATGAGCCAGGTCATAAAGGCTCTTACCATGAAAGGCATGTTCAAATATGCAAAGCCATCCTTAATACAGGGGAACAACATGAGTGTAAACAGCATGCTAAAACCTTAAGATCTCAGTTCTCTATATATTTAGACCAATAGTAAAATTAATTCATGCAGATATAAAGACCCAACAATGTAATGAATGTGGTAAAGCTTGTAAATTTTTCAGTTATTCTTACAGGCATGAAAGAAGTCATACTACAGAGAAATCACATGAATATACTGATTGTGGTAAAGACTTTGTATGTAGTCATCCTCAAAGGCATGAAAAAACACATACTGGAGAGAAACTCTGTGAATATAATCAATGTGGTAAAACCTTTACACAGCCCAGGCATCTTGGAGTACATAAAAGAACACATACTCGTGGGAAACCCTATGAACGTAATCATTGTGGTAAAGCCTTTGCACGAGACAGTGCTCTTCAATTGCATGAAAGAACACATACGGGAGAAAAACCCTA